ATGGTTCTACTGTGGCACTTAGCGTGGGCAGGTGCTGCATCCAGAGGCGGGTCCAGGGCCCACCGGGGTCACGTAAAGGGCGTGGGACCCACACCAGGACTGCAGCCGGTCCACGTGGAATCGGGGCATGAGGTCTCACTGCCGGGGGCGGGGGAGGGGAGACACGTGCGTGGGGGAAGAGACACCTGGGAAGTGGCCGCGTGGGGGCTGAGCTGGGAGGAGGCCCACAGGCTGGTTGGGAAATCGCCGGCTCCGAACGGCAGGCGGCGCCGGCGCAAAGGCTAAGAGCGCTCTGAGCCCCGCAGAGGGAAGAGTGGAGATTGGCAGGTGCCAGGGGACAGACCCGGATACAGGTGTGGTAGGGAGCAAAGACCCTAGGGGGACCCCTGCTGGCAAGCCGTTCCCAGGCTGGTGTTCTCTGTCACCTGAAGCCAGGAGTCCACACAGGAATCCCTGTCCTGGGGCTGTGCCACCTCGGGCAGGCAGACTGTGCCACCTCGGGCAGACTGTGCCACCTGGGTAGACTGTGCCACTTCCCTGTCTTAGTTTCTTCTGCTATGAGACAGGAGTAATTATTCCAGCCTTCTGGGCCTGCTGTGTTAGTGAGTGTGTGAGGTGCCTTGTACGGGATAAAGCAGCAGACAGATAACGGCTCTTTCTGAAACATGGGTGTGAAGGGCGGCGCAGCGTGAGTGAGGCGGATTTCTGCAAGAGGGTGCTGCAGTTTGACTCACCTTGCTCACACGGCGTGCTGGGCTTGTGCTGCCACCTGGTGGCCACTGGTGAGCATAGCGCCCGGCAAGGGCCCGCCATCAGGCCTTCAGATGCTAGACAAGCTGAGGTCCAGAAGCCGCTTCTGTCCAAGATTCATGCAGCTTAAGCACCTCTTCACTTTCTGGGACACATTTAGAATTAGTCAAACCGTGTCTAGGTCATTCCTAGGGCTTTCTGACATAGGGTGAGGGTCTTCCGTGGCAGCTCTCCTTGGTTAGGCAGGATTTTCCTGCTGCTCAGAGAGAAGGAACCTTGACCTCTTTGTTCGCCCTTGCAATGGATGGCTCAAAGCAAGGTGGCTCATGTTCAGCCCCTGGACGTGGGGGGGACACCTGAGAGGTTCAGCAAATTCCCCCGGCTGGAATGAGCCCCAGAGCCGGCACCTTTGGTTGCCTCTAAGCACACTACTTCTTTCTAGGACCCCACTGTTGGTCCTAGAGGTGTATAAACAGGAGACCTTGCGGAAGTGGCGATGGGGCCAAGAGGAAGTGAGCAAACTGATTTTGTGCAATTCTGCCGGAAGCAGCGGTGTCAGTGCGAGCCAGTCTGGGCAGCAGCTGCCACCTCCCGCCTTCGGGACATCCTGTCTCAGCAACCACCTGAACCGGTTGCTGGGCTCCAGACACCCCTGGCCCCCCCGCCCCCCCCTCCCTAGGCCTAGCTCATGCTGCGTCTTGCTATTATTACCTGCCGGTTGCTGGGGTTTTCTGGGCATTGCTGAGAAGTTGCAAAGGATCAGATGAACCATCTCTCTGGTCAGGTGTCGGGGTTATAGGCAGAAGCCAGAGGGCCAGGCTGCAGCCTGTGGCTGAGCTGTGTTCAGCAGCAGCCTCCCGGGGGCCTCCGGGCCAGCGGCGGGCAACGGTGAGGTCTCTGCTCAGCACTCTTGTTTCTTTTCCTGAGATTCAGGCCCATGCTTCCTCCCAGACCCGAGGAGTTCAGCTTCTTTCAGAAGAACTCTAATAGATGAAGCTCTTCCAGTGAATGGGAAAAAAACCCTGAGCCACATCTCACTCATAATTTATTATTAAAAAAATAACTTTCTGACACTCTGGTCCAATGCCATGTTTCCCTTGGGGCCCAGATCTCCCCGTGGGGCCCAGCTCCCCCCATGCCTGCCTGTTTCCTCCATCTCCAGCTGGCTTAGAGTTGGTGCTGAACTCACGTGGCCCTTGCACCTGATCCCCACGGGCTTGGTCCCATGTCGGTTTGCAGGTGGGGGGGCTGGGCGCTCCTATTGATAGAAGGCAACATCCAACCCAGGGGTTCTTCGTGCTGCTGAAAGCTGGCTACTCCCTGCCACACCGTGCGGTGTGGGGGCTGGGCTCCGAGCTGGGAGCTGGGGTGAAAATGTTGCCCTGCCATTTCCTGGCTGTGCAACCCTGGGTGAGTTACTTAACCATCCTGAGCTGCAGTTTGCTCAGCCGACGTGGTATATCCATTTCAGTGGAGAGTCCTGAGCGAGGCCAGCTGTGCAAAATGGGCAATACCACACTTCGTAGGAAGGGCTTCACGGGGCCTGGCTGGCCATCATCTGCCCAGCGGGTAGATGGGACTAGCTGCCCTCCAGAGTCCACAGGGGAGACGGGAGGGTGCAGGGAGGGAGGTGTCTGGGAAGTTTTCTTCTACTTCCTGTAGGAGAACAGTGTTGAGGGAGAAGTGCTTAATGGGAGCTAGAAGTCTAGTGGGCGCTAGACGAGGGACAGCCGGGCCTTCCAGGCCGGAGAAGAGCGTGCACACAGGGTGAGGAAGTGAAAGCGCACGCCTCGCCCTCAGGGTGCTAGCAGGTGGCCCTCCTAGTTCCAGGGGAACCAGATGTCTGCAGAGGCCGGGAGATGCATGGCCGAGGGTTTTGTAGCCTTAACGAGACGTTTGGACTTGACCCTGAGGGTCACACGGAGGCTGTGGGGAGACAGGTGTTCTGGAGGTGTGAAGGAGGTGGGTACCGTCTCCTTGTGAGAGATGAACTTAGTCAAGAGAGGCTGTGGGCTCTGGCGGGGGACACACACAGGGGGACTACCCTCGCCACACTGCCTTTCGGGGTTCAATCTAGGTTGGAAAGGACCCTCAGAGCCCCATCCTCAACCAAAAGTGGCTGTCCAAATTTTTCCCTGGGGAATGATGGGCTCTGTCCACTCAGAAAACACAGAGGCAGGGCTTCCCTAGTGCACAGAAAGGAAACCCCCGGGTATGTGCAGAGAATTTGGAAACCATCCCCCAGTGGGAAGCCCTGGTGAGGCTCCGAGGGAGCCCTGCCCCTCTGTTTTCTCTCCAGGCTCCCAGGCTGCTCCGGTGACTGGTGCCTGGACACTCGGCCCCATTCTCTTCTCTGACACCCCTGCACTAGAGAAGAAAAGGAGCAAGACTGGAAATTTCCAGCCCAGCTGTGGAAGCCGGTCCCACCCGCTCAGCTCACTTCCCAGGGCTGTGTCCGTCCACAGCCGGTCCATAGTTGACCTGGTGTCCAGACTCAACCTCACTGTATAGTGGAAAGGCCCCGTTTCGGTGACACACGGGCTCCTGGAAATCACCTCTGACTTCCTTCCCTACCAGACACAAGGAAAGCAGTTGCAGCGGAACATGAGACAGGACAGGTCGTGCTGGTGGCTGGAGAAGCACAGGGCTGTGCACCTGGCCACTGGGACATGCTGGAGCAATGGAAGGGCCCTGGGGTGCTGCCCGCTTGGGGAGCACGCTAGGGACATGGGACCCGTCAGTCCAGCACAGACACGGGCTGACCTGGGACGCGGCCGGGGTCCCTGATAATGTGGAGGCTCCTCTGGAAGACCCAGGCAGCCCCACCCCCAGGGGGAAGCGTGGTGGGCAAATCCCAGAAGGACGCTGTCCTCACGGGGGAGTGTTAGCCATCCGCTCTGAGATGGCTGCCGGAGGTCAATGTTACGGCTGCTTCGATCCCGCGGCTGGCCTAGGTCCTGCTGTTTCTTCCTGTCTCCCTAAACAACACATTTCAGTGACACCCAGAAGTGGCTCCTACATAACAATTGCACTCAAGTGCCTGGTTTCCAGACTTGGAGACCAGGTGGGCAGTGGCGGGGGAGGGGTCTGACCCCCAGCACACCGCTGCGGGCTGGGTTTGGGATGCGGGCGGGGGGGGGGGGGGCCTGCGCCGGATTAGGGGCACACACAGCCTCTGCCTCCTCTCTGCAGCTGCTCATCCCCGTGTTGCGTTTCTAAGCGGAGTTGACCCGGTTGCGAGGGTGGGCGAGACTGGAGGGCGTGTGAGCAGAGAAGGGGACTGCAGGGTCCGCAGGCGTCATGCTGCAGCGGATGTGGTGTCTTGTGCTCGCCTGAGCAGGGACGCTCAGCTGGTGGCCTCGGCAAGTAGGCCGGGTCCAGCTGTGCCCAGCGGACTCATGGACTCGTGGCCAGTTCTCAGCGCTTGCTACTACTCGCTCCGTCTGTCCCAGCTGCTGTAACAGAATCCGTCACGCCGGGAGGCTGCAGGCTGGGTGTCGGCGCACGTGGTGTGGGCTTGGCATCTGCCTCCTGGCGCAGACACCGTCTTCTGTGTCCTCAGAAGCGAGGGGACGCTGGGGGGCCCCTCTTAGAAGGTCACGACTCCCTCCCAAAGATCCCCCTTCCTAACGCCATCGCCTTGAGGGGATCTCAACCTAGGACTTCTGGAGGGACCCAAACATGTGTCCCATGTGCGCTTAGGGAGAATAAACGTCAGCTGGCGTTGGGCGGCTGCCACCAAAGTCTGTTTCTCGCTCTTGGGTTTGATTTGCCGCCCGCTCTCGCTGCTCAGCCAGCGGGACACGCTCCCACTGGGCTCCCCCCGGGCGCTGCGCTCATCCGGTCCGGTCCCTAGTGAATGAAGTCTGAGGCTTCTTCCTTCTCACACCCCCGTCCGCTCCTCTGCTCTTTCCATCTCCTCCCTGCGTGCTCTTTGGCTCAGCACTTTCTCTCACCCATCTCACTTCCTGAACTGCCTCTGACCAACACTGCTTATCTTGATGGAGTTTGGGGAGCCCTCAAGGGCCAGGAGAGGACAGTCAGTCTGGGGAACTAAGAACTGCAACACTTTCAGATTCAGCCGACAGAGAACTGCACTCCAGGCTTCCGGGAGTCGGGCCTGAGCAGCCCAGGAAGACTGGAAGAACTGCCCTGTGGTGCGCTGTGAGACAGAGGGTGCCCCGAAGGGCCGAGCCCGAGACGGGAAGGAACGGAGCGTGGCGAGCTCCAGACAGCCGCTCTGTGTCCAGCCCTCTGCTGGGATGTGTGGCACGAGCTAGGCACGCAGGCCCCACGGAGACACGGAGAGAGCACGCCGTCTCCCGCCTGGGAGGCTCCTTGGAGGCCAGATGCCTGTGAACGACACGGCCCTGTCGCTGACCACCATCACCTACATCACCGTGGAGATCTTCATCGGGCTCTGTGCCATCGTGGGCAATGTGCTGGTCATCTGGGTGGTCAAGCTGAACCCCAGCCTGCAGACGACCACCTTCTATTTCATCGTCTCCCTGGCCCTGGCTGACATCGCCGTTGGGGTGCTGGTCATGCCTTTGGCTGTCGTCATCAGCCTGGGCATCAGGATCCACTTCTACAGCTGTCTGCTCATGACCTGCCTGCTGCTGATCTTCACGCACGCCTCCATCATGTCCTTGCTGGCCATCGCCGTGGACAGGTACCTGCGGGTCAAACTCACCATCAGGTAACCTGCTTCAAGGGGGGGGGGTGGCGTGGGCAGGGAATTGAGGAGCCACACGCCAGGCTCTCCGGGAGAAAACAAATCCAAACTGGCCTCTGAGTGTGAAAGGGGTGTTTTTTTTTCACCCCCTCATTTCACCATGATGAGCTGAGATGCCAGGACAGAGGAAGGAGCCAGTCTCTCCCCACTGAGATGGGAAAGCATGCCCCACCCCACCCCACCCACCCCTGGGGAGAGAAAGGTGATCAGAGTGGTCCACTTAGTTGAAAACGCTCGTGAATTTTAAACAACGATAGAAACCTGTTAGTTAAAATAAGGAAGAGGCAGAAAAGGAGAAAAACTGATGCTTCTGCTCTTTGTATTTGTGGTTTGTTTTAAAGTCATTTTAATTTCACTTCCTCTTCCTCGTCTGAAGAGGGGATCAAAGTTCTCCACTACAGAAAGCAGTAGGGACTTTTCCCATAACCGTGTGAAAAGAACAGGGTGTCCAGGGGAGAAATCTAACTCCTCAGGGGTCCTGCATCACCTGGGTCTCTTTCCGTTGGGGAGAGCACCGTGAGGGAGCTGGGAACAGCATTTCATGTAAAGAACCTGGGTTCAATCCCAGATGTTCACACGGGAACTTGGACTAGTTAACTTTCTCCCCTCGGTCCTTGTCTGCTCACGGGGCTGAGATTCCCCGAGCTCAGTCTCAGCTCTTTGGCTCCTCCACTTCTGGCTTGTACATTACCTGTCTTCATTCATTCATTTATTTATTTATTTTCTGACCTATAGCATGGGGATAATACTTGCATCTTCCTTAAAAGATTAAGTGACTGAACATATGTCAGGGTCCTAGAAAAATGTCTGGCAAATGGTCTGTGCCCAACAAGTGATAGCCACAGCACCTTTTCCCACTACTACCATCTTGTACCATCAATGAAGAGGAAGTGATCAGTTATCTCTAACTTGTTGTGTGATTTGAGAGAAAGCCTGCTGAGGACAGAGGTGGCACTCGCCAAGGTCCCTGCAGTCTGTCAGAGGTGGCCCATGAGGGTGCTTTCAGGAGAAATGGTGACTCCATCGGATAGGTCTTGGAAGACACTGGGTGTGCTGGACCAGGAGCTCAAGCCTGTGAGCTTGCTCAACTCCAACGCCAAGCGTGGACGGCTGTGGCAAGAGACACTGAGGCAGAGGGCAAGAGCGGGAACAGACAATTTACAGGGAGCAGACAATTCACAGGCATCAGCACCAGAGCCCAACGGAACAGTGCAGAGCACAGCAGGCAGACACATGTTTAGGCCTCATCCCAGGAGACTTAGATAACTCTTACCTGCCAGGAATTGAAAACCTTTGGGCTGGAAAAGGTTTTGAGTGGGGTCTGCAAGAGCGTGACTCTAGGTAGCCTATTTCTGACCCACTCCAGAGCACCCTTCCTTGGGAAAGTTCCCAGGGAGGTTAGGTTTGTCTCCTGTGTCTTGGAGACCTTGGCTGGACTGACCATAGAGTGCCCGCCTCTGCCCGTTGACCTTCCCTGCTGTGTACTCACTGACTCTCTCCCATTCAAACAGATACAGGAGGGTCACTACTCAAAGAAGAATATGGTTGGCCCTGGGTCTCTGCTGGCTGGTGTCCTTCCTGGTGGGCCTGACGCCCATGTTTGGCTGGCACAGGAAGCAGACCACAGAGGACGGCAGAAATAACACCTTCCTTCCCTGCAAGTTCCGCACAGTCATGAGGATGGACTACATGGTCTACTTCAGCTTCTTCACTTGGATTTTCATCCCCCTGCTCATCATGTGTGCCATCTATCTCGACATCTTCTATATCATCCGGAACAGACTCAGTCAGAAGTTTTCAAATTCCAAAGAGTCGGGTGCATTTTACGGACGGGAGTTCAAGACTGCCAAGTCCCTGTTTCTGGTTCTCTTCTTGTTTGCACTGTCCTGGCTGCCCATATCAATCATCAACTGTATCCTCTACTTTAAGGGCGAAGTGCCAGAAGTTGTGCAAAACCTGGGCATCCTGCTGTCCCATGCCAACTCCATGATGAACCCCATCATCTATGCCTATAAAATAAGGAAGTTCAAGGAAACCTATCTCTTGATCTTCAGAACCTGCATGAACTGTCAGTCCACCGAGCCCCTGGAGTCAAGCAGTAGGTATTCTTCTGAGTAGTTCCCCACAGACTCTCCACCCCCAACCTGCAGGTGCAGCACCAGCAGACACTTGGAGGAATTGTCCTCCTGGGCCAAAGACTTTCACTCCCTTGATTCCTTCAATTAAGGTGGGGAGCATGTGGCCAGCTGCCTTCCCCCCACTCTATCCTTTTCCTCATCCTCTGATCAGTTTTTTTCCTTCCCCAACTCTACTGTCTGCATGCTTGACCTGAGGACAGTAGCCTGTTGTTCCTGCTGTCTGTGTTCCTCTGTCCCAGAGAGGAGAAGTCTTGGAGTTGCCTCAGGACTGACCCACGAAGGTCCCCATCGGGCTGACATGTTGTGAAGGTGACGGGTTCCACTGTTGTGAGCAATAGAGCTCGCTCTCAGCAGGTGTCTTGGGAGATGATGGGAACAGAGACTGTGAAAGGACCTTAATAGGGGAGGGGCTTCAGCTGCTGAATTCACCTGTAAACGCATTTGAGTAAATAAAAGATGATAGCTAACCTGTGGAGTAGCTCTTTGCTGAGGGTCAGGGTCACCTGGTGAACTTGAAGACGCAGCTGACTGCTCTGGCATGTCCACCTGGGTGAGCTCAGGAATCTTCACCCCTGGCTCCAGAACAACCAACTCCTTTTTTCTTGGGCTGATCGGAATCTCCGTCAAGGTTATGAGCCATTCACGGGCTGATAGAGGAGGGGTTTCCTCTCTCATTGTAATCGTTTCCTCTGGTCTTTCGTGGGAGTAGCGGGGTGGATGAGGAGACACACCAGTAGCCATTTCTGCTGCAGCACTCACTGGGCGCTACACACTGGGCACACCTGTCTCTCTGGGTCCTGACAACCTCTGATGTCGATGCTGGGTGTAGGTTTGGCGGGGTGTTGGGTTCAGCGTCCAGAAAAGTTTCATCAGAGCTCCACTGTCAGTGGCACCCGGTGGGCTTCCCCAGGCGAGTTCCCACAGAGCAGAGACGTTTAGTGATCAAGAAATCCAAAAGGGCAGGGGAGGAAAGGACGCAAGCAGGCAGAAAGAACTGCCCCCGGCTTGCAGGGGACGCAGCACCCTCCCAGGCGGGCGGCTGCCTCTGCTGCTTTGCAAAGGGAAAAGGTTGGAGAAGAGACACCTGTGTAGTCACGGTGGGCAGGCGAGCTGCTGTCCTTCTGGTGCAGAGATTGCAACCGAAATAGTCTCTGTAGGAGGGGTTCATCCCTTTGTGGGATTGTTCACGGCTGTTAATTATTTCCAGGGCCGGTGTGGAAGGTTTTTTTTAGCTTTGGTTTGACTTGGTAGATTTGAAAGGACCTGCTTCCTTTACAATGTCCCCCAACCTTCATGCCCTCACCCCATCCCCCATCTGCGCCTCCAATTCTGGATACTTTTCTATAGCTGGTTTAAATGCCTTAATCATTCCAACCCCCACTTCCAGCCTCTGGCCTCACGTGAGCTAGTTTCTGGTTTTGTGATGACTTCTTCCCAAACTGTCTACTCTTAGCCTCCATCAGATAGCACCGCTGTGACCATCTTCATTCTACAGAAGGAAAAGGAGGCACAGAAGGGTTAAGTGACCTGTCGGCGTGTGACACAGCTAACAGGTAGCAGAGCCAAGATGTGGATCCAGCCCTCCGCCTCCTGGGAGACCTCCAGCTTCTCACCACCTAGTGGTGAAAAGGAACTTGTAATGTCTCCAGAGTCCAGACTCTCAAGTCCAGCCTTCAGCCCCCAGGACTCTTGGCTTTCTCTGGGCTCGCTCTGGAGTTTCTGCGTTCTAGTTTGCTGGTGTTCTGGCGTTCTGGCGTTCTGGCGTCCTGGCGTCCTGGCGTCCTGGCGTCCTGGCGTCCTGGCGTCCTGGCGTCCTCTCACTTCCCGTAGCCGCGCAGCCTGAGTCACGCCGCCTTTATAGCCCTGCTCACTAGGCACAGGTGTGCACCCTTGCACATGCGCACACACCCCTGTTCAGGTGTCCTTAGTCAGGCATGCTTGCCCCACGCCCACCCGCCTGCAAGGGTAAGAAGATCAAGGCTGCGGGTGAGCGCCACAGAGGCCAAAGGCGTGAAAGCCTGACCTACTTCACCGACCCTGCGCTCTTCATCGGGACCAGAAGCCACAGAGCTCCACCACCTCATGCACTTGGAGTGTGACTGGTGATTCACGGTGGCACCTCTGGGTGGGCCCGTCCAAATTTCCCACTGTGGATTCTCACTTCCAAGGCAATAAATGCACAAACTTACTGAGAACAGCAAGGTGGGGGTTTCCGTTAAACTACATGGAAGAGGATGCTTGTGCTGAAAAGGCGAATGAATTCTTAGTCCTGAAAGTTTATCCTAAACCCAATCTACCAGAGCCCGATAGCCCTTTTTTATCTTGTTAACATTTCATTTCAGCAAAGGCTCTTGTCTCTCCTGCTGGCCAGACCAGGAAGAAGTGATGCTATCTGAGCAACTGGAAAACTTGCATACAATTGCCCTAAGGTCAAAGGGGCTGGTCGGCCCTCCACCACTTCCCGGCCTCTCACAAACCTTCCCTCAAGACAGAGGAGCAGGAGCTTAAGGTTCCTGTGGGTACCTGGGCTGGGGGAGAGTTCACTTCAGTCATCACTGTCTCTCCTGAGGCGTTTTGGGGGTGTTTTTTTCTTTACAAATATAAGCTTTGGGGGCCTCCCTGTTGGCCTTGGGGTTAACGCTAAGCAGTCACTGTGACAGCTTGAGTTCCATCCCCAGCCAGGGAGCTGACCCACCTGGTGCAGCAGACCGCTCCTGTCTTGCCTGCTGCTCCCCTCAGCAGTGGATTTTAGTGGGTCCACCTGTTTTGGTGTCCACTGTCTCTGGTGAGTCCTCTCACATACACCCCACACCTCTGGCCTACATCACAGTTCTTTTATGCAAAGATAAAAACAAACAAAAAAAATTAAAAAACTAAAAAATATATATAAACACAAACACATTAAATAAATATATATATATATATATAAGCCTTTGCGTCACGCTGACTTTTTTCCTTAGTGGTACCTCCTTTCATTGAAGGCTTCCCCCCAAATCAGTGTTTAGTTAGAAGACCTCTTCTGGATGAGACCCCAGGTTGGTTCTGGGACTTCTGGTCATCCCGACACCCACTTGGAGCCGGAGGGCCGGCGCCATTAGGCCTCATCCCAAGGAACATTCACACCGCGCTTCTGAAGTAAATCCTCTCCCATAGCGGCTGGACACCGCCCTTCTGGGAAACACCATTAAAGGACCCCTTCCGAGAAGAGAGAACCCGTCTTTCCTGGCCGTCTGCTAACATCAGGCCAGCTGTCCCCTCAGACTCAGAAGCACTTTTTGCCTTCTCCCTCTTTCTCTTCTGCCTCACCCTTCATTTTATTTTTCTTCTCTAGCAAACCCACTTAGGGTGTTCAGGAGTTGTGCTATTTTAAATATTTTCCCCAATGGGAATCTCCCACTATTCCAAAAGAATCCCTTTAAGTGAAAATGTCTTTTGGAATGAACTCAAAAGAGAGGAGCCAAGACTCTGTGATGAGGGGTCTGACTGGTTGGAGTGGGGGGCATTCCTCCCTGGGCTCATTCAGAGATGAATGTCACTGGAACCCCCAACCCCGCGCCCCCCCCCCCCAGCTCTCTTCATTTAAACAGTCAAGAATAGTGACTGGGTGTTAATTCTAGAAGATAAAGTTAAAAAAAAAAAAAAAAAGAAACAAACACCCAGACAAAAGTGAAGGTTGCTTCCCCTCCACAATATGAATTCCTTGGAACAAAGGTAGATGTTGAGGAGCTATTGATTTATCCGCCCACTTTTTTTCTTTTTTAAATGGAGTCAACTGTGGAAATAAACGAAACCCAGATGAGAAAGTGAAGGCTATTTCTTCTGAGCGTGCAAAGCCGGGGACCCAGCCTCCCACACTGTGTCTTAGCAGGGGAGGGGTAGGAAGCCTTTTTATAAGGGAAAAGGGAAGGTTTTGAGAGTCCCTGACCAGAGCTGTGGGCCAGGAGAGTTGGCAGCTGGCTAATTGGAAGAGGCGCCTCGTGGGTGATGGGCCGGGGAACTGACTGGCTTTCTCTCATTGGCCCAAAGTTGGAAGCAGGTGCAAAATTAGGGAAGCTTCCAGTTATTGCTCAAGCTCTGGTCATTTGGGGTCAGCTGTTTGCTGGGATTATTGTTTGGCTTCCTGGACTGCTCGTTCGGTTAATGGCCAAACTTTCAACAAGTATGACTTTAGGAGGGGCCTCTTGGGAGCAGTTCCCTTAGGTAGGGGACTGGCTTCCCCAGCTGGTTGCAGGCTAGAGCGCTGTCTTGGTTCAGGGCCGAGTCACTGTCCATCTGTAGGTTCAGCTTTAGCTACACATTTCTAGACAAACTCTGCTCTGGGATAAGCTGTCTGTATAGTGGGTTGAGAACACAGGCAGCCCCGCCCGGGGCCCGCAGATGATACCGTGTAGGTGAAATCACTTCACAAACACCAACGCGCTCTGCAGTGTGTGGCTCTTGGGACTTCATGGAAGAGAATATTAGTGCTTTTTTGTGATTTTGCATCATTGGATCGTAGCAGATTTACCGGTTGTGTGAACGTCAATGTCGCAGTTACTTAAACTGAGCCTCAACTTCCCCATTTGTGAAAATAAGGTCAATCACACTGTAGCAAAGTGGTTTTTGGTTTTTTGCTTTTTACTTTTCACTGTGAGAAAATTCACACATACAAAAGCGGAGAGGCTGGGATGACACGCTCCCCTCTCTGTCACCCACTTGGGGACAGGCTGCGGGAGCTTGTTTGATGTCCCCCTAACCCCTCACCTCGTAGCTCTGCTGAAGTTGAAGTTTTAGGTATTACATTATTTCACCTTCCAAAAAGACGTGTTTGAATTTTTATTTGGCTTATTCTTATGACCCATTTGCTTTCTTTGCATAGAGTAGAAATTAGTTCCACCTGTGAGAAGGAGCGATCGGGCTTGTAACCAAGCAACACGCAGGCTGTGTGATCATTCTCTGAACTCTGGGCCTTTCATCTGCTCGGGATGCTGCTTCTTCGCATCGTGGGCACTTCACTGACATCTGAGCTGACGTGATGGCTTGCGGGTGCCATCTCTGAGTGGTTCAGAGTGTGTGTTTTGCAGGCAGCTTTCTCAAACACAAGGACAGCTTTAAGAAATATAACAACAGTTATCTATATGGTCAGTTGTCAATCAGGGTAACAAATTACCCTAAAACATAGAGACTCAAAGAGATTTCTGCAGGTCAGGAATCCAGGGGCACTTGCTTGGGGTGGCCTCAGATGAGCTTGCTGGATTGTGGCTGGAGGGGGTCCACTCCCAAGGAGTGTCCTGCATGTCCAGCAAGTGGATCCTGGCAACTTGGTCCCTCTTTCCTCTGTGGCCTCCCCACGGGTCCACTTGAGAATCCTCACAACACAGCAACTGACATCCCAAGGGCGGAGCAGAGCAGGAGACGAAGGGGAAAGCTTCACACCTCTTATGACTTAGCCTTGGCAGTCACACGCCATCCCTTTTGCAATACACAACCGGAAGTGTGGCCAGAATGCCAGGAGCTATCCTAGGGGCTATGCCAATGCCACTGACACACCTAAAAAATTAACAAAACCTTATAAATATCCACTACCTAGTCACTGTCCAAATTTTCTTACTCACTTCAGTTGGGATCTGAGTAAGCTCCATATACTGCTATCTGTCAGTATCTCTGCAGCCCCTTTTAATCTATAAGTCCTCTCCCTTCATCCCCACCTACCCAACTCCTGCAGGGGGTTGAATTCAGAAATCTCCTGAGAAATAAGTGAGACGACGTAGGCAAAACCCTTAACCATGACAGCAGGTAAAGCTCGCACCAGGGTGTAGTCTGCTGCCGGCCCCTGCTGTGTTCAGATCAATGTCAAACACAGACAGCTTCTCCTTCCCCAAGAGCAGACATTACTGAGCGGTCTGGAGCATCATGCATGTCGGGGCCTTGCCAGGATACGCTGCCTGCTCTGGGGTATCATCAGTTGCAACCAACTAATGCTAACCTGAGCTGTGCTTCCATAATTAAAACTGGAAAGCAGTTGTCGGGCCACTTGCCTCCCATGAGGAACTAGGGCAAACATCTACTGCGACAGGGACAGATGATCCTGGCTTGTCCCAGCTCTGCCCAAGGAAACTTCCTAGAGGCCTGGAGGCGGCAGGCTGGCTGCTCACACCTGCACAACCATGCTCACTGTCACGTGCTCGTGATGCCAGACGTATCTGCCATGACAGTTTCACACTCCTAGCCCCACCCCCGAGAAGCTGCAGTGTCTGTGGGGGGTCAGGGTAGTCAGGAGTCTCTGTGCCAAGCTTCCTCTCCACTGACTGCGAATGGACCTCTGAGAAGTGGTCTGGCCCTACCTAGACCGTGGGCTGGAAAGGGCACTGTTGCGTGCCGGCGCTTATATCCACCAGGGTGTGTGCGTGTCTTGTGCTCTTTTGAGTGTGTGTGTAGTTTTGTGTGCTGGAACGGACTTAGGAGGGAAAGAGTCACTGCTGTCTGGGGCCCAGAATTTTCTTCATCGCCCCACATTATAAAGCCAAGTTTGTGGCCACAGGTGGCCTCCCTCTGGTGAGCAGCCTTGTGCAGTGCGCAACCTGGACACCCACACACTGCAGCACTCGCGGGTTAACTGGTTGCTCTGTCCTTAACCCTCGGTCTCTCCCAACAGGACATGAAGCCACCTTAAGCTCAAACCTATCTGCTTCCCTTACACAGGTCCAGGATTCCTAAGGCGCCTGGGTCCATCCTGTCGTTCCTATCGAAGGTTCGTTCCTTCTAGTCATGGGGCTCTTCCTTCTGCTGACCTTGATTCTCTTTTCAGGTAAGATACGGAACAGAGCATCCCTCAGCCCTTCAGGCATCTCAGAAACATGGCCATTTCCTTCTTTCCTGCTTGTTAGATTGAGCCACCTAACGTGTGAGGTGGGAAAACAAAACAGAGAAGACAGAGCTCGTCCTTGTTAGCCGCGTTGACAGCTCCGACGACAGGGCTGTGCCATGCTGGGCGTGCTGACTAACACGAGGCCCTGTATTCTCTGTTTAATTCCCTCGCCCCTTTCCAGTATTTGTGCAGTTATGTGAGGATGGGACTTAGCACCTTCTGCCCTGCCTGGCCCCGGAGATGAGACGAGAGGGTGGGCTTGCCCCATGACTCTGCCGCCCTCTGGCCTGGTGACCTCTGAGGCTGGCACCTCTGCAGCAACATCCATGCCAGTAAACTGGGCCTCACATGACCTTCTCGTAGGGTTGATGGGAACAGAGACATGGAATGGCACAGGGAGGTGAGCTTCCTTGTCCGCAGAGCCTCCCGCTGTGAGCTCCACTGGAGGGGGACCCGGCACGCGTTGTGGGGAGGCCGAGCGAGAGTGGGCTCTGCCTGCCCCCAGCCCCATTTCCCCTCCTCCCTCAAAGACTGCCCCGCTTCCGTCAGGCTGGACTCGGTCCAAGCGTGACTTCCTCATTGTGCAATGTCCTCACGTGATGGGGGAGCCCACCTGCTCTGGTGTGCTGGACATACAAGCTCCTAGCACCTACAGGAAGACCCCCAGTGCCCTCTGGCTTCAGCCCCAGCCAGCTAGTGGGGTCTGCAAACTTTCATTGCTGCGGTGCCAAGGTGGAGCCTGGGCACCGTGACAGAGGATATGCTAGCGGAAAGCCTGCTGTTGCACGCTGGGGAGAGGCCCAAACTCCAGGGAAGGGGTCCAGATGCCACCCACCCACAGCCAGGGAGGAAGGTCCCTCCAGAGCTGCCACACCAGTCTGCAAGGGCTGTGGGGAGACTCGCGGACCACGCTCAGGCTCACACGGGACAAACTGCTGCCTGACTGCATGGAAGCATCCAGGCACCAGGGGGTCAGGTTTCTTCTGTCCTGTCCCCTTAGCTTCCAAGTGATCTCTGTCTCACTGTGTCTGTCCGTCTTAAAACATTTATTTATTTATGCATATAAGAACTGGGGTACAGGCCAGAGATGTGGGGTTGGGGGTGAGAGGATTCACCAGAGACAGAGTGGGGAGCAGAACAGGCGGATTGACTGGAAATACACTCCTGAGGAGAGCAGCAGGCGGGTCAGAAGAGGGAGCAGCAGGCGGGTCAGAAGAGGTCTGCTGCGCCATGTGGGTCAGCTCCCTGGAGCTGGGGATCGAACTTGTGCTACTTGGCTTCAGCGAGCTTCATCGTGCTGTGCTTTAGCCCATTATGCCACCAGGGAGGGCCCTGTGTCCTAGTCTTTTTAATAAGATCACCTGTCTCACTTTGGATTAGGGTCCACGCTAATACATTGCTTTAACTAATTCATCTCAGGAAAGTCTCTGTCTCTAAACACAGCCACATTCTGAGGCACTAGGGGTTAGCACTTCAGCATGTACATTTTAGGGGGACAAAATTCAGCACACAGCAATTGCCAGCCCCTGTGGGCCAGGGCAGCCTCCTGACCTTGAATGAAGCTAGTTTTCCTCCAGGAGGGCGGGAGCCGCCATGTGCTTAAAAAGCACAAGGAGGGCCCTCTCTGGGGGTGTAACGGGTTAAAGCACAGCACTGGGAAGCTGGCGGCTGCTGCTTCAGCATAAGTTCTCTCCCAGGCCAGGAAGCTGACCCACATGGCACGGCAGACCTCCCCTGACCCGCCCACTGCTCCCTTCAGCAGTGTATTTCATTGATATACCTATTCTATCTTTTTTTTTTTTTTAAGATTTATTTATTTATGCATCCAGAACTGGAGTACAGGCCAGAGGTGCAGGGGCGGTGAGAGGACTCACCAGAGACAGAGTGGGGAGCAGAACAGTCAGATCTACGAAGTACACTGTTGAGGGGAGCAGCGGGCGGGCCAGGAGAGGTCTGCCGCACCATGTGGTCACCTCCGGGGCAGGCGGGAATCGAACTCATGCAGAAGTGGCTTTAGCTTCTCAATGCTGTGCTTTAACCCGCTGCGCCACCAGGGAGGGCCCAAATAAATCTTTTTTTTAAAGTGCATGGTGTGTATGTCTCTTGGCAGATGCCATGGTCATGGACGAAAAGGTCAAGGAGAGCGTTGTGCTGGACACAGCTTCGGCCATCTGCAACTACGATGCCTACTACAAGGATCACCCCAAATACTGGTGCCGGGGCTACTTCCGGGACTACTGCAACATCATCGCCTTCACACCCAACAGCACGGACCGTGTGGTGCTGAGGGACACGGGGAGCCAGCTCATCGTCACGGTGTCCTGCCTGACCAAGGAGGACACGGGCTGGTACTGGTGCGGCATTCAGAGGGACTTTGCCCGGGATGTCATGGACTTTACAGAGCTGGTGGTGACTGACAACAGAGATTTTTGGTCCAGGAAAATCTCACCAACCCTCAGCAGTGATTTCTGGCCCAGGAAAGGTAAGGTACCTGCCAGCAGTCTCACTGGGGGTCCTCACCAAAGTGGGGGTTCGGTGATGTGGAAAATACCCACAGGAGCCTGTGGGCATGGCTCGGGCACCCAGATTCTCTCCTTTCCACCACGGGACGGTGATTGCGATGGTGCTGGGACTCACTTGGAATCTGGGGGTGAGGGCCAGCATGTGTTTGGGCCTTGGGGTGTCCTTGGGTCCTCCCTGCCCTTACAGCAACCTGGAGTGGGACTGGGAAGGGGCTTGTGGGTGTAGCAGGGTGTGAGAGCTTGAGGTCACCAAAGGTTTTGAGGTGGCTATCACGGGCCATGCACCCCAGGCAGCCCTCCTGCAGGTCTAGAATTTTGAAGACTGATTTCCTGAAAGGCTGTGAGGCTGGACAGACACCCCATGCAAAATCCCTTCATAACTGACCGGTGTAAATGTTGTCATCCCCTCGGCCTCGCCCTCTTTAAGGCGTGAGTTACTCCAGGAGGCAGCTGGGTGGACAGAGGGGGGGACAGGGGCCTCCACGGAGAAGATGCTCATCAAAACTCTTCTGTCAAGGGCTGAAAATGTCCCTTTAGCCCGAAACCCTGTGTCCCAGCAGCAGAGAGCTGGTGGAAGACGCCAGCCTTTCTCTGTTGTCGCCCCTCTGGCTTCTCATCATTTCCAGCCCTAGAAGGGGTGTCCTTTCCCACCACAATCCAAGGCACAAGGCCACAGAAAAGCAAACCAGAGGACTTGGGGGAAGCAATGGGGAGCCTCGCCCCCACTTGGCCGCCTGGCGTTTATCCAGCCAGCGTCTTGCCGAATGTGGGACTTTTCCTGCCTTGAGCTGAATCACTGCGAAGCCTGGTCTGAGGCTCAGACCCAGGGTGGGAGCCAGCCCCAGCGCGCCCCTAACACAGACGCTGTCCGCCGCCAGGCCGTGTCAGAGGAACAGAGGGCGGGCTGGTCAGCGTACAATGTGGCAGTAATGTCACCTGCTGACTGGGCCCTACGGGAAGGCTGGCCCTCCGGTGTCCCCCTCAGCTGCCGCCTGGGGTTTTCTAACTCAAGCCGCTTATAGTCTCAGCAGCCTTTGTGCAAATCTGGTGAGTGGAGCAGCGCAGGGGCACGTGGCTTGGCCGAAAGTGGGTGCTGGATGCGAGCCCCACCTTGTGCCCCAGCGTGCTCTGGGCACGGCGCGCTCACAGGGCTCGCTGTAGCCCTCGGCCTCTCTGCTCCGTCAGCCTCGGATGCTTCTCTGGAGACCGCAGGGGTGACAGGCAGAGAGGCCGAGGGCAGCTGCACAGAAGGAGCCCGGGAGGGGACCTGACGTGACTCTCAGCAACTTCTTTCTGATGCAGATCTATCAGCCAATAAGAACAGAAGCTGCAGGACTTCCAGAATGGTCCACAAGGCCGATCACTCCAGGTGAGTCATGACCTCAGGAGAAAACTCGGCCTTGGGCGAGCAGAGCAGGGGCCTGCCGGCTGTCAGTGCTGCTCTGGTCTTTCCCGCCTGGAGATGCTTCCTCCCTGGGGCCATTTGTTTCTCCCCAGTGAAGAGAGTCCCGGACTCTTGGTGTCAAGCAGCAACAATGCCCTCTTGCTCTCTTAACGGAGAAGGGTGCCGCTTCGCACTGGGCAGGGGCCTCCCTGGACTTGATCTTGGGCTCTAAGCTGCTACTCTTAAGTAGCTGTTTCCCTCTCTCCCTCTCTCTCTGTACTGTTCTTTGAACCACTCTCCCTCTCTCTCCCCTCCCCCTCTCTCTGTACTGTCCTTTGAAATTTCATTTTTCATGGGACATTTATCCATCCTAGTTTCTCTAGAGACCAGACAGTCTGGGACTGGACGCTGCCACCCCAGTTCCAGGCTCATTTCTGGCCCACCCGCTTAGGCCAGAGGATAGCAGCACTTGGGAGGATCTCGTTGCCAGGAGCTGCTCTGACTGGGTGGCAGTGGGGGTGGGGTGGGGCACAGTGAGTAGAGCCCAGAAAAGCAACTCTCGAACAGAGAACCGAAAGCAGAGTCCTCCAAGGGAAGCTGAAGTCTGTGATTCCTCCCAGGTTGTCGATTCTCATCATCTGCATACTGATCACGGCTTTGGGGGTCATCTCTATAATCAGTCATTTGTTCAAAAGGAGGAGAAGTCAAAGGAACAGAAGGGGTAAGTAGAGTTTTGGGGCGAGCCAAAATCAGAGAAAATGGAAGGGATACGGGCAACTCAAGAGGAGGGAATGTGACCTCCCCTCAGGGGCTGGCGCCCTGGGGACCCCGAGGCAGCAGGAGCGGGCTGGGGAGATGCTCTTTGCGGTGGTAGAGCACCAGGTGGGTGACGGGAGCCCTGTACCTTCACAAGCCAAGGTGTGTGCGGCCCAGGAGGAGCCATAATGTCCACATTGGGTCCCCCACCGCACCCCCCTCCCTGCCCCAGTAATTCTGATGGAAACTTCTTGCTCACCTGGAGGGAACAGAAGGCTTGAAACATGCGCTGGCCTCAGGATGTCTCCTGGACTAGCAGCAGGAGTGGGAGTGGACTGGCTTGGGCCTCAGTCCAAGTAGTGAGCCCCCTCTTGTCCTGGGGTCATGGCAGGTACAGTCCCTGCAAGGAGCCAGAAAACCAGCCAAGACTCCACCGGGAGCCCCACACTTCTGGTAAGTGGCTCCGTGGGCTCCTGTGTCCCAAGCTGCTGCCCCGGGGGTCCCAGGCATCACCAGAGAGCAGGGACTTGTTCAGAAGGGGCTGTGGGCATCAGCTCACTTCGGGGCAGCTGGGGAGAAGCCAAGACCCCCAAGGCCACACGTGGTGACTCTGCTAAGCAACCAGGCGGACACAGGGCAGGAAGGACGTGAGACAGTGTCCCCAAGGGCCGGTAGCTGTGCTGTCATCGTTTTTTTCTTTTCACGTTTGGAAGCAAGACAGGCCATCAAGAGACTAATCATAATCACAAAACCGTCCCCAGTGACTCCTGGGCATGGAAGGTAGAAAAACAACATTTCAGAGAAAGAGAGGGGAGCAGGCCAGCGTGGAGACACCTGCCATGAACCTAAGTGGGGGAGCTGGGAGAACCAGCTGCTGCCCTCAGGTCGTGGGGTTCATACTAGCAGGGGGTCATTTTGTCCCTGTGATCAGAACAGGTTTGGGGATGGTGCGATGGGGGCTGTGAGACGAAAAGACGAAGCATGTTCAGGTTTGCCCGAGACCACTTCCCCGGGGACACAAGTGTCTGGGTTTTTGCAGAAACCACTGTCCCTTCTCCGAGGCATGATCCTGGGCAACTTCTCTGTCCCTGTTCTCTGTTCCACACAATATATTCATTCATTCACTCACTCACTCACTCACTCACTCACTCACTC